TTAATCGTCATAAATGAGTTGTAATATGCTTTTATTCAGATGACGATGAGAAAAGCGAAATTCAGATTTTTCAAAAAAGTTCTATCTTCATCTTTCAACAGTAATCTCGAAAGGTCAAATGCCAATTTATACAGATACGCATAGATGTAGACAAAAAAAGAAAAAGAAAAAGAAAGTATGATCTCCTCCTTTATACAAATAATAAAGGACAACTGTGTGATGGATATGTATAAAGCTATGTGGTTATATAGAATCATCATCTATCTCCTCAACATTTCAACTATGCCATCATGATCAATCATATACAATTTGTATGTTATCCTAGTATAGCATTAGTAGACAACGACAAGAGAAACAACATAGTTTTGTCTTCGTCATGAACGGACTATTTTTCTCTTATGAGCAACACTAATACATGGTAGTTTATAACGGTGTGTATATTGTTGACAAGTAAGGACAAGATGGACTCGTATAATACACGTACACATATCTCTATAGATAAATATAGACTATCGTTTATCTCATGTAGATGTATAGAATATCGATTCTAGATGAATGTCAAAAAATCCGCATAGAAAGATGATGTTAGTAGTAGTAGTCAGTCAGTCAGTCAGTCAACCAGCCAATCCCGGAGAAAATTGACAATGAAACAAGTTACTTTTAACAATTTTGCTTTTTCCTCACAGTGAACTTAGAAAAAGAATAATTATAAAAGAACAAGAACAACAAGTAGACATTATTACTATTGAAACAAAAATGAATTATATCACTCGTGCGTATCTGTATGAGCGCAAATGCATGACACCTTAGAGAGATCTAATCATTATAATCAACATACTTAAAATCTTTTTTTTTTCTTTCCCATTTCTGATCTGTTGCATTTAAAATACAATGATTCTAGTAGGACACGCACGAACTCACATACACATCGGTTCGGCAACATCGTATCCCATTGGACGTATGATCCTGTTACAACAAAAGGCCTTGTATAATGTAGTAAATCTATCACTACATAGATCTGTATATATATATATATCTATTTATTTGCGTTAATTTTGATAGTCCTCACACGTCTCATTCATTAACCATGCACACATGCCCATAAATTCGCTCGCGCTGTTACGAGAACGAGAATTGTGCATGTATATATGTCTCGCCCTCTTACTCTTGGTTTTCTTTCTCTCACATACAAATACTATTCTGTCTCTCCTTCTCATTGTTTATCGGTGCAGTACGTGCCTGAAAAATGAAAGTGATTGCATCAATACACGCCGCCCATTCATTCATCGTCATTGATCGTCATCGTCAGTGACATCAGTTACAGATCATAATATTAGTTTGAATACGCGCACATACTTGCATATGAGAATAAAAATGAAAGATCGATCTTTGTCGAGTCCGATTTCTCTAAAGCTGCATTTATCACATACAAAACTAGTTCTTATAAGAATCAGCAGTAATATTTCTGTTCTGTTATTGTTACGAATATCCTGTGTACTAATCTTTCTCTTTTTCTTGCTAAGTATTTGTTGTAATACAATCTGCACAGCGCCTGTTTGCTTGTCCTTCTCTCACTCTCACCCAAAGCTTATTGATACGCATTAAGGTTCGTAAGCAAGTAAGAAAGCAATTGTATATTCACACAAGCAAAAACCGACTGACTAACTGTGAATGGCATTGTAGTCCAACGGCAGGAGACAATTGTGAAAACGACAGAAGACAATTTGGTATATTCTGTCCATTAGGCAATTCAATACATGTAGTTGCAGAGGGAATTGTCAGTTGACCTTATTTTCGGCAATATTACTTTCACTAGAACTTTCCATTACCATCACCAGCACCATCAGCAATATCATCGTCATAAATGATGATGATGTTGATGATAATAATGACAAAGAATAAGAGACAAGAAGAAAGGAAAATCAAGCTGAAGAAGAAAAAAAGCAAGAACGACCTGTTATCATCTATATACAGGATATACAAAAGCAACAAATGACATGGAAACTGCCATTAGCATAGACATAAGAATCGGAAAGACAGCTAATGTATGCGACGAAACACCTTTTCTTTTTTTTTTGAAAGAGTCAAATCAAATAAAAAGACGATATGATCTCTCAATTAGCTCGACAAGAATGCAAAGATAGAATACTTGAAAAATGAGAAAGAAAAAAGAATTTTGACTTCCGCTAAATTAGCAACGCGATCTAAATGATAATGAAATACTAGTACTCAAAAATAACAATTGTGTCTCACATAAAATCTACCAGAACAAAAGACATGATGTACATGTTACCTGTATTTCTTCGTCTTCTTCTTCTTCATACTGTTCTCATCTGATATATAGCTACGTATGTTATCTTCATCTGTATGGATCGTATATGTATATACGAACCAGAACAATAGTTATTCTTCTCTTATCGCCATATTTCTAATCATAATCACTATATACAATTGGCAAAAGAGCAACAGTGTCAGTAGGGGTGCGTATGTATGTGTTAAAGAGAAAGGGTGCAAGAGAGATGAATAATGGTATAAAAACAATAGCGCCTAATTACCTATTATCATCGGCCCGGAAACGACGACGAAGACGGCTGCTGTTTTTGTTGTTGTCAACTGGGTGTGCACAAGAGCGATAGCAGGCGGGTAAAAGTGAATAAGGAGCACATCGTCAAAAATGTTACTCTGATCACAGAGTTTTCTTTTTCATAACTCTTTATCCTACTACATAGGAGGAGAGAGAGTGTGTGTGAGAGCACTGATGATGATTGTTGTCATTCGAGCGAGCAAAAAAAGAAAAGAGAGAGAGAGAGAGAGAAGAAGAAGAAGGAAGTAAGCAGTTTGGCAGAAGAGAGAAAGGGAAAGAGTTAAGGAACATCCATTGACGATCGATGCGCACGATTGTCTTACCTCAAAAACAGACAAGAGTCTAAATGATTAGACTTATAAATTATTCCATCTGCATACATATATATATATATAATTGACAATTGACTCAACTTAGGAAAGTCAAACGACTCTAATACTACTGCTGCTACTCCTCTTGTCCATCTTATGCGATACTTCAAACGACCGTCTTTGTTCTATTCATATATTCATATACGCACTGGTGCTCGATTGCATCTTCCATACTAGTAATAGGATACTATCGTCACCGGTTTTACCACAGCTGTTGCTTTTGCTCGAATTCTCTTTCTTTTTATACCCCTCAAGATTGACAGTTGTCACGTCGTTGAGACTAAATAAAAGTTTATATAAATGCAACAAAGGTCCAGCAAAAAGAAAAAAAAGAAAATTCAGTCAAATCCTTCCTCAATCATATTTGTTTGATACAATGAAAAAGATCGAATTCGAATTTTTACTTCGTATGCTGCCAATCGATAAACATTCTTCTATACACAATCATCTTTTGTTGGATACGAACTAAGCTTTAGAATTCAACGATATAATAGAACGAGATAGAGCCAGAACAAGTGTTGCTCTCCTTTATCCTATCGATTACAGATCTTCTTGAAGGCATATTTTGGCTTGTCTTATCCTTCATGCCATCGTGAAGTCTTTTTTTCTTCTCTTCTTGTTATCTCATTGTACAACAGTAAAGACGGCAAAAAACAGAAAGCGGTGCGAATGTCCTTGAGGCTAAACGCATACTACCATCATTGCGATACACAGGATGTTTTATGCTAGTTGAAATATTCCTGGCGGCACTTCTACTTGTGCAATTCGATCTCATGAAAATTGGTCATAGTCATTGTCGTCATATATAAGCTGATGTATGTATAAATGTTGATGATCAAATCATAAGTACATATTTATTTCTATAGGCACATAAAAAGAAGAAAAAAAACGAAGAAAGAAAGAATGTCAAGAGAAGGGAAGGTACCTGACGTTGTTATCGGTTTCTTTCTCTCTTTTTTTTGTCTATATGGACAAACATGCACATCAATTGAGAAAAAGATTATATTACATGCTAGTTTGCTTCCATCATTTTTTTCCCATAATTGTTACCGTGTCGCACATTTCGATGAGAGATCAACAGGATAAATGATCTATATCCTTGTGCGAACGAAGAAATATTATAACTGTTATTTCAAAGTAAGATAGATGAATGGAGATTGAAGACTGACGCACATATGGCTATGTGTGGCGATCATATGAGTAGGATAACTTGACAGCGGCACCAGATTTCTCTTTGAACAGTTGCGATTATACGTACATTTATACAAATATATATATATATATATATATAGTTCTATGTATCTAGGATTATACTATCCTTTTTTTTCTTTTAACAGTTGTATACTAATTTATGTCACTCAAATTCTCGCATGTACGATGTCAATCCTTTCAACTCTTTCCCATAAAACTATAACTATCATTCGATGTATCTGTATGCATTCATTAACTGTCTGTCGATTAATGACATAATGGTAAAGGGAGAGTGTGTGTGTGTGCAAATGTTAGATACGGAAAAAGTGTTGCTCTTATCGCGAGACACTTTGTGCACAATCTTCGATGTACGGAACAAAGACGATCGTATTTCTTCTCTCAATTAGATCTGTATGTCTGCATGCGACCCAATCTGTATACCCCCTAAGTGAATGAGAGAAGGAAAAAAAGATAACACAATAACATCAACATTGAGTATAAACGTATACTTGACCAAGAGGGGATATATTCTATATCTTCTTTTCTTGTCTCTAGTATTTTAACTTACGAAAGAGACCTATTGAATTACGACGACATTCCCTGTACGATCGATGATAAAACATTTTCTATTTGACTGATTATTCTTCTAAAATATCACAAGATATATATTATTGTTCTATCTTTAGTTACGTATGTTATTTTTCAATATATATCAGAAATCAATATTACTGTCGAATACACATATCAGGTATCGCAAGAAAATGCGATAAAATACTTCAGTTTTAATTTCTCTTTGATTTAATAAAATTCAGTTATTTATACAAAAGAAAATTTATTAAAATTAAAATTAGATATTAACTAAGAATTTTCTGAGGTGAAATCAATGTCAGTGAATCTCGTCGCTGCGACCGAAAAGATTTTCCTGGTAAAAGCCCATTGGGAGATCTTTTTTGTGAACGTCTTGTTAATATTGATTGAGATTCATCTTCATATAAAGGTACAACAACAACAGGACTTATATTAGCTTGTTCAAATTTTATTTTCATGTCTCGTGTTACTTGATGCATTGAACGTGGACGTAGATCAATTGTTGGCCGTTGACTTTTTTGACCATAGGCAAATGTTGCTTTCGATGATCGAAGACGATTATTATTAATATTACTGTTATTATTTAAGCTTGTGATAATTGCATTAGCATTAATGACATCAGCTGTACTACGACAATTACTTGCTGAACATGTTGTACAACCATGTTTACAACGATGTTGATCACGTACATTCGATCCACTTTGTAATGCTGGTTGTCTTGTTGGAGATGATTGAGGTGGAATTGATGAGACAATTCGTTTATAGAGATGATAATCTTGGCCGGATGCACAATTTCCAAGACATGTGATACGTTTACATTCGTTACAACGTAACTCACGTCTTAATTCTTGTAAATCTCGTATATCTTTTTCATTTGGAGTATTTTTTGCTGAGAAATTTCCCGATAGATTTGCTGTACTCACATCTAAAGAAGTAGTTTTCATTAAACGATTATATGTTGTCAAATTCTGACGACGTCTTTGTTCCCATTTCATTGTACTGGCTTGTAATCTAAATATAGAAAAATAGACACAATAATCAATTGAAACAAAAATAAAATTTATTTGGAATAGAATTAAATACGCAGAGAAAATATCTTTATTTTACCTTGCTAATTTGATGCATTTTTCGAAAACACCTTTGCTATTTGTGCCTGGTTCAAATTTTGTTTTAACTTCTCGGTAAAATTCTTTTAAATTCCATTCACTATTATTTCCGCTGTTTCCTTGTAATTGTGATTGAAGCGCTATAGCTTGATCGTATTCTTCGCTAAATGGACTTTTATAATCATATACAGGCGATGCACGATCTGATGGCAAATGAAATGAATATTGTTCGACTTCTTTCTGGCGTTGACTCAGTGCTTCAGTTTCTTGGTCGACAATACGTCGTTCGATTTCTTTAGGATCTTCACGTGGAGTTTTTCGAGTAGGTGAACTAACTGTAGCTTCGATGCGTCCACTTTTAACATCGCGATACCATGTACCGTGAGTGACTATTATTTGAGGATTATTATTCTAATAGAGAAAATCGAAAAAGAAATGAAATGATAAAAGAACGATTTTGTTTGGCTCTTTTTTGTAAATAATTTTTTTACTTTATTTTCTTCTTGATCACTTTCAATTGTTTCATTTAATTGCTGTTTGTCTCTGGCTGTTGTTTCCATAGTTAACGTACCATTCGATAGATCAAGAAAACTGTCACGACTAGTATTAAGTTGTTCTGTCATTGTGTCGTTTGCATCCGAGCATAATTGATGAACAAAATGATTATCACTTTTAAATATGGACGGTTTAAGTCCATCGGTTAGATTAAGAAATGCTGGGTTATTTAAATTATCAAAATTGCCTGAGGAGTCAATATAACGTGGTGCACGTAATGGTGCTGGTGGAGGCGGAGGAGGTGGAGGTCGAATAGGTAAAGCAGATTTTATTTTGCCAGTGTTTACTCGACGACGACGCTCTTCAATAGCAACCGGAGCTGTTGTAGGTCTATTAGCTTCAATAAGAGTTGACATTGGTAGTTTAAGACGGTCAGGTGCTGATGTAGGTGGTCGGCTTTTATGATAGAACATAAATATAGTATATAGATGTACGATCGATGATGATGATGATGATATTATTTGTTTTACCCTTTTACTGCTGCTTTTGCTGTTCCTGGTCGTTGAGTATTGGTCGGTAGATTAGGATGCCAACGAGATGAAAAAATTTCGCCATTCTCAGTTGGTATTGATTTTGTATCATCACGGTTGAGTCCTTTTGCTAACTATAAGAAATATGCTTAATATTGAAGTCTAGTATGTTTTGTTTTTACTTTGCGATTCCAAATGTTTAAGAACATTAGCTAAATACGCATAAGATGCTTTTTGCAGTTCTCATTCTCTTTTTTTTTAAATCCAGAAGAAACGTTTATTCGTACATCGAAAACAAAGTATGTTTGTTTTTAAAAACAAATGAATTTTACGTTCTAATCTTTACTTTTGTTTCTCTTTTTTTCTTTATTCAAAAAAAACATCAATCAGAAAAAAGTCATCAGTGCATAAGCGTTTATAGAGGCAAAGATTTTTCAATTTAAGAGTGCTTTTTCTTGTTCTTTAGCAAATATATCTCATATAATAAAGATTTTCATAGATTGATGAATTACTTTTCTTTTGTTTTTGTTTTCAAAAAAGTAAAATTTAATTGCAACTTACAGCTGTCATGTAATCTTTATTTTCTTTTGTTATACGTGAATTCTGTGGATTCCAACTAGTTGCTCGCTGAAGAAAAGAAAAAGAAAAAAACATAAATATATATATATATATATATATTCATTTATTTATATAGATGTGCATATATAATTGAAAATCGTAAGAAAGTCGAGCCTCTTAAAAAATAATTACACAAACACACACCTTACAAAGTACGCCAACATCACCAGGATAATATGACCAGAACGAATCTGGCTGTGCTCGTACGCGCTGTCCCTGAACTTCAAGTGTATCATTGGGTAAAACATTGACAGCGCAAATAAGACCTGGTTGTTGCATGCTAACATAAAAATGAGTTCGACTTGTGTGACCGTCGATCATCTTTTCTGTCTACTCTCGATCACTAGCTATATGTATGGTAGCAAACATATTTCTACAAGAAATGAAGCTCGTTCTGCTAAACAAACAGAAGAACTTCTTTTGTTAATAGAAGAAAAAATCGAGATGAAAAACGTTTATGTTCTCCTGTGATTGGACTTGCCATTTCTCCCTCTTTTTTACTCCTTCTTTTTTTCTTCACACGTGAAGATTTTGTTAAACTGCACATCTGACCGCGTCGTTTTTGTAGGGGGTAGATATGTGCTTGCTAATAGAATAAAATTTTCATTTTTTTTAAAATCATACAGAGACATTAGAATGCAGAAAAAGAAAAAACAGAGGAAGAATAACAATTACATGCAACTATTTGCTGACACAATGAATTTTTCACTACTTACAATATTCAATATGGACATGCCATTGTTATTGGTGTTGTTAAGAGATACTAATGATTGCATTGGAGTTAAAATAAGTAATGTAGATGAACGTACGTTACCAATCGTCGGCGTCGATGGTCGAGTTGTTGGTCGAGACATTTGTGCCAATTTTTCAGCATATTGATTGCTGCAAAGTAAAAAACTTCGCTCACCGCCATCAGATCGCATACGTTGGATTTCACTCATTTGATTTTGACGAGTATTCTGAACTTTTTGAGCATACAGCATAACAATCAATATGCTTTTTTCTTATCTTTACTCAGTTGTTATTTTTTGTCAGATATTCTTCGAATAAGTTCTTGTTTTATACTCTCTATATATCGAGTATTAGTATGAGGGAAAAAAAGAAAGAAATCGGCATAAATTGATCATGCAATTCTCTCTCTCCCTCTCTCTCTCTTTTCTAGTCTCTTTTGTGGCATTTTCTTTTTTGTTATATATCACAAATATTCCAATGACATTTACTAATGAAAGAAAATACTCCGATTTCTTTTTTTTGCTCTACGTCGTATTTATTTTGAATTCATCTAATACGATCACGTTCGTTTATTCATCTATAGTATTGTATCGATGATGTTAAAATACGATTAAAAACAACAATAGAAAAGAGAATAAGGCCGAGAAAAATATAATAATATCTGAGTGGATTTGATGCCGTCTTAACATTCATATATATAAATATTGAATAGATATTGAAACACATTCTTAAATAATCATAATATCGGATAGAGTAAAGGCGGAGCTTGTTTGTTTTTTGTTTAGTCTATTTTTAGTGCGCTTCGAAGCACAATATTATTGTAGTTCTTCGTGAATTTGTTTTCTTTTACTCACTAAAAGCAAAACTGCACGTTTTGTTTTGTGACCTCATGGTCTTAGCTATGGTAAATCGGACAACATTCGAGCGAACACGATCTTGTAGTAAAGAAATAGAATATGTGATATCTTTTTCAAAATATTTACTACTAAGCTGCTCCGTTCATTGGGAAAGATCGTTTCAAAATGATGGTTTTCAAAATAGTTTATCTTTTTTTTCTAATCTGAAATAATAAAACGAAAAAATTAGACTCAATCTTCTCTATATTAATATGCGAAACAGGTATAAAACGCCTGATTACTTACAGATTATGAATCACTTACATAATTCAATGTTCAATTGATATTGCTTTTTCAAAAATCTGTTTATAGACACAAATAGAATTCTCTTAGTCATCTACTTAACTATGACTTTACTCGAAATTTTCATTAATTGACAAGTTAAACAGATTGTTCATAATTCTTACAGATAGAAAGTAACTAATGCTATAAAAAATGAAAGCGATGGGAACAATAAGAATTTCGAATAAATATTAAAGCTCGTTACTCGATTTCCATTTTTTTCTTGAACTCGTTTTTTTACGCGACATTTTCATATGTTATCACCAATAATTCATGACTCCTTGATATTGAGAATGCAGTAGCAAAAAATACTCGTTCAAACGCTAATGGAACTATTGAGATAGTAGATCTACTACCATCTTATTTCAAATCTTCCTCGCACCCTTTTCATTTTCAAGACCCGGGATGACAAAAATAACATCACCGGAAAGAGCTATTGACTAGTAAATGTTTCAACAGCTGTTTATGGGTTGTGAACCATAGATATGTTTAAAAATTCAATCGATATCCTTTTCTTCAAGAACAAGCTGATAAATGTAGCAGAGTTCTCGTGGTTACGAGTTTATTATGACTAATGGAAAATTATTGGAAATTGTGATGCGCTATTCTTCTTAAATCAACATTGGAAAATGTGCATGCTTAACAACGTGTGAACTCCACAACAATATCAATTCTCGCAATAAAAAGCTTCGTAGTCTATTGCAATATCGGTCAGTCGTCTTTCATTGTACGTTCCTCGTGTAAAATCTTTTCTAACAAATAATTCTTCGTTTTCGTTCCTTCAGTTACGCTTGACAAGTCATCATAGCTGACTCGAAAATCATCATAAGGGGGAAATTAAAAAGTACTTTTTCGAACTCAGATAAAAAATGTTCAATTAAAAAAACTACACGCGCTTCAAGACTTTATCATTGTTTTTCTATCCTTTTTCTCAAACAAGACATCCGAACAATGAAATAAGAAAGAAATTCATCGTTGTCATTATTAAAGGTAACTATTGGGAACAACAGTGACATCCATCCATAAGGTAACTTTTTTTTCACAACCTGTGGATCTACCTGATTATCAATAAGAAGTCAAACATGTAAATAAGCGTTATATCGAAATAAGTCTCTTCGTACGTATGGATACGAATGAACAAAGTTCGCTTAGTAATGAATTTTTACGATAACCGCCTTATGGTTATTTGAAAGTTCGATAATTTGGTTGGTAAAACGCTGATCCTCATTCCTATCAACAACTAGAAAGGTGAAATTCAGAAAAATCTGCTATTGACAAGGTTGATAGCAATTTCCAATAGGACACCTAAACGTTTTAGTAACTTTGTAATGTTGCCAGTGTAGAGCGATCCTGCCATTTTATCTATTCTAGAAGAAATCAAGTTTGCGGGCTTCCCACCAGACTTCGTATTCGAATGAAACTTGGATACCATCTAATTTAGTGAGTCACTCATCATAGAAATCTTCAATAATAACTTTTTTTGTTATTCTATCTTGTTTTTATTTTTTGTTCGCATATGCGGACTCGTTCTGTTTGAAAAGCTTACTTTAACATGAAAATAGAATATTGTTTTTGACGAACTCTCTCTGTAGATAAATAGACTGTTTTCACTGTTGAACATTTACTAAAATAGAAAAAATCTTATGTTGCCTAGAAGTAATCCTATTGACATATTTTATACTTTATAAAAGTCAAAATTTTACTTAAACTCTTTCTATCTTTCTACTCGATAGTAAATAATTGTTGACATGATTGTTCTCCATTTTCATTTCATCAATCTGACATTAACACCGCGTTTCTTTTTCGCCATCAGATGCAATCTTATTGCCGAATCGAATCAGCCTTTGACTTAATCAATGAAAATAATCTCGACAGACTGTCATTCTGAATGAGCATGAATGACAAAGTCAAGTATCAGTCCTTGCATATCATAATCAATTATCAAAGACACTTATTTGTCATCATATACGTATGGATATCGGTAGCAACCAATAATATCAAGGCGATGATATCTAGGGTATATATGACGAGGAATACAACCTGCTCCTATTTATTCATAATATAAAATTGAGAAGCAATATTACAAATTTTTCTGTTCGGAAGTTTCTATTTTATAATCCATGGTTGAGTGACTTTGAGAAGTGGTTCACGTGTATATTCTCTTATTGGTATAACACTTCCATAACCACTATCATAAGATTTTTTCTTCTCATTTTCTTTTTCTTCGTCATCTTCCATATTATCATCGAAATCTGTATCTGGAAAATTTCCATCGAAACTTGAGATCGCTTCTATTTTAGTATCATCATCATTTTCTTTCATTGATACTTCATAGTTCGTATAATGATTTTGACATTGACAAAATGTTTTCATTAACCGATCTGATTTATTGTCATTACCATAGAGTGACGAATAAACTTGATTATGAGGTACGAATAATGAACGATTGAATATTTTATGAATAGAATCAATTGTTGAAAGAACACGATCAAATTCAGCTTGATCGTGATCTAATATTTGCTTTTGATATTTTAAATTTCTCCACGTTGTTACTGATGATGATGATGATTTTTCGAGATTTTCTGTTTCTCTCTGTTGTAAATAGAATTCTGTTCGGTAAGTAAAATTATGCGTTCTCGGGGTGCGAACAATGATTGATTTTGATTTATTTAAAATTGGTGATGACCGTTTTTCATAATATGCACTTCTACGACGAAAATATGTTGATGTTGAAAGAAGTTCCATATGTAAATAAAGAAGAAATAACGAATTAGTTGATATGAGAAGAGCTCATATGTAGGTTTTCTGTCTGTTTCGTTTCTTTTTTAGTGACGTTAAATGTACATGGGCTGCATGTATCTTTCGTTTCTTCTTACCTGTGAAATGACGATTGCGATTGATCGTTACACATGAGAACCCTCGTAAACTATTCTTGCTAATGATCGAGGAAGACAAGAGAGAGAGAGAGACAAGAAATACAAGGCCATTTATACATATGAGAGAAAATAATTTAAATTAAAAGTAATACAATTAAATATTTAATTATCATCATATAGACTAAATTTTATTTTTCAATGTAAGAAGATTCTAGTCGAAATTTCAATAATTGACCAATAATGAATTAGAACCTTGTGAACATTTCATAAGCGAAAAACGTTCTATGAGCACATTGAAAAGTTAACATTTTGTTGAACGCTATGGCCGAAGTAAACGTTAAAAAGTGATCTCAACATAATTATATTGTCGTGCAACAAAAAAAAAGCGAACCTTCGCCCTTGATTTGTTGTTACTTGTGAATTTATTTCTATTGGTTCATTGGTTTAAAAGAATTCGATTCCTTTTTCTAAGAAGTTTTTATTCGAAAAAATAAAAATAAATTTCAAAACTAAATCTATAAAGAAAATGAATAAATAGAACGCAGAAATAAATAGGTCAAGTTAAAAGAAATTGTAAATATTCGTTTCTTTTCTTTTTATCATTGATTATTATTATTATTAGATGCATAACGACGATCGCGGGTCGTATCTAAACTATCAATTGATATTTTATCTTTATCTAATGATAGCGTTGAACCATGTGGCAACGATGAATTACTATCATTATTTCGAGATAGGTGACTTTGTTTTCTTTCAAAAGAAAGTTCAGATTCATCGTCATCATTTCCGGTCGATGATGAATCATATTTATGTCGTAAACTATCCGACGTTTTTGTGTCATGACTTTCTCCGTGAATGGTTGACAGGGATGATGCTGATGTTAATGGATATGGATCTTCATTAGTCGGTGATTTAGCTGGCTTAGCAGAAAGATTTAATTGAGATGTTGACTTCTTTTTTTCATTTTTTATTTCGAATTTTTCATCGGCTTTTACTGACGGTTGTGCAGTTGTTTTTAATAATGGTTCATTATATACAGGAATTGGTCCATCAACTATTTCAAGCGGAATCGTTCGGGTTAATGAACATACATCGTCCGATATGAATGTGACATAAAGACGGCTAACTCCAACACGAGTAGGAGTAAGTTTAACATGAAATGTTGCTGATTCTTTGGGTGCAAATGCTCGACTAGAAGGACAAACAATCGAATATGAGTTTTATAGCCTTGAATTTAGAAAAGAAAACGCCTCGAGTATTTGCTTTATAAAAATTTAGTATGCAAAAATATGCTCCGATAAAATTTTGAAAGAGATGCACTAGTTATAAAAAAGCTTACTTAACAGGAATTATTTGATTAATACCCAAACCATCAATATGAATACGTCCATTATTTATTCGACGTTGAAGCGTATTGGCTATTTGTATTTCAAGTAATGCTGGTTTACCTGCTTCAATAACATCTTCATTTAGAATCTGATTAAAAACAGACAAGCACAAAAACATTCTACCATAGATTAATAGAACCTGCTAAACTTACTAATTTAACAAGATCATCTTTATTAAAAACAATGCTATCATCACGTGCAAATATTTGTGAAGTCTCTTTGATTTGTGAATGTATATAATATTTGACAATGATATTTTCTGCTTTACCATAAGCCATATATTGTTCTGGTCTGATTTTCAATGGAATGTTTTCATCTAAAATAATGTTGATGAAATAAAAATTTCAACTGAAAAGCTAGTTTTACTTTTTCCAGCTCCAAGATTTGATAGTTGAATTGGTTGATCGTAGCAAGAAATTAATTTTTGATAACTACTACTTATTATGCATAGCGATAACGCTGTTGCTATTGTACGTGTTTCATTGGATTTATTAGTTGCATGCAATTGTAGTGTTAAATTATCTCCAAACTAAAAAATTTCCATGAAAATTTCTTTAGAAAAAAAATTAAATTTTACTTTCATATCGTCGGATAGTTTTAATTCAAAGTCTACATCATTGTTCGGTCGTTTTACGAAATTGCCATTTCTATCGGATGATTTCATCAGATTTTTATAGTTTTCTGTTATGTCTTCTATTTCGAATTCGTTAGTTAATGATCGTGTAATTATTTTACTGCCGACTATATTTTCTTGTACATCTAATTGAATAAAGAGAGAATAGGAAATTTTAAAAAAATGTAGAAAATCTAACCTAACAATTCCATATTTCCGTCTGGATAGACATTCCAATGTGCTTTATTTCCGTTAATAGTTGAATGAACAAATGGTGAATCCCATCGAAAACCTAATTCACTATTTTTTAAAAATGATACTGAACATGGGCCAGTTCGTCGAATACCTTGAAAGAATTCGTATAGGTGGAATCGAAAAAGAACCTCTCAATCGTACCGTCACACATTAACACTGGTGTTGAATCAATAATTTGCCAATCGTGTTCACCATTAGATAAATCGTCGCGACGCATCCAACATTCATTCCATACATGTGAAGCACTAAAAGTAGGCATAATGTTTTTCTTTAATGTGTTCAAATCGCATATTTAGAAGAAGAAAAAAGTTTTCCTCACCAGATTAAATCGGAATTAAGTTGTTTTAATGGCCGTTGTTTTATGTCCCAATGAATATCATAATTTTCGGTTCCATCAGTTTGACAAGCTGCATTATAAATCGTAACAATACGACATGGAATACCCAGTGCTCGACTCAAACTACAAAGAATAGCTGCATGTTGCCAATTAGTTCCATTGCCACCTTGTACTGGTCGACCGTTGGATAAAACATATTGTTTTAATATACCTGTACTACTTGTATATCCATGGTTTTCCGACGAAAAAGTATTCCTATCAGATGACGATGGAAATATTCCATTGTTGGTGCCAGGATTCGAGCAAATTTTCGATGAAATAATACGAAGTATAATCGAAGGATCGATTCGATTTTGTGGTGGTAATTGTGCTTTGTCAAGAAGTGTTAGTGCAGCTAGCAATGCTGATCTTTCGAATTGACCAAAGTACCATGGCACTGCACGAGGTTTATCCGTTGAACCAAGATAAATTTGTCCGTGTTCATTCATCACATATTCATCGATTTGTTCCGATGATGATAAAGCACATGCATCGTCTTTGTTCCATGGATTAAAAAGAAGATAAATATCAACTTCGAACAGAAATAGTGCAAAATCTGGTTTGTTTAGTACATCTTTTTCGTCTTTCTTTATAGGACGAACTTCAAGTAATAACTATAAATGGCAAAAAGATAAAACTCATTCAAAACCTTTTATTTCTAGAAATAAACTTACAGAATATTTTCCAATAATAGCATCAGAAGGAGAATTAATTTCAAGAGAAATACGATTATTTTTCTCTTGAGTTTCATTATTTCCTAGAGAAAGACTTTTAACTGACCAGCCATTTAAATTTTCTGTTCCGTCAACTAAAAGTCTTATTTGTGTATGTTTTGATATCATAGATCGAGAACCTGTCGAACAAAAAATTCATTGGAAGATATTATTTCTCTAATTTTCTATACCTGTCGTTAAACGAACATATAATTGATGTTGTTTAACATCATAATCTCTATTGAATGTCACCGTAAATGAAAATTTTTGTCCTCGTCGTAATACCAAACCTGGAATATCATAATGTTTTGTAGAATGTTCTTCCATATTCTTCTTTGTATGAAAATCAACATCTGTAGGAATTAATCTGGTCGCTAGAAGTACAATTTAAAAAGCAAAATAAATAAAAATCGATTATCACTTGTTCATATATTTAAATGTTTTCTTTTTAGCTATTCAACTACGCAAATAAACATACGATTGAGATTCAAGCGATGAAAAAAGATAATGATTAAGTATGTTAGTAATTTCAGTTAAGTTTAGCGTGTAATAATATTGCATCATATGTATATATATATATATATATGTATATATGTATGTTATGTATATCTATATGTACAATTCATACAAGAAAATTTTGAACAGAAAAAAAAAACAAATGGATAAGTTTATGTAATGGAATTCATTGTACTATTTAAATGATTTGAAATTTGGGCAAACGATTCTCGGGAAATACGTCGTCTTGGCATGACACTTCCATAGCCGCTGTCATAAGAATTTTTCTTCTTATCTTCGATATCGTCTAAATCTGAGTCGGTATCATTAAAATTTAGAATCGATGTGCTGCTTAATGTTTCTTGCGTAGAAGTATCAGCAGCAGCAGCCGCATCTTGTACGTTCGTACAGTGGTTTTGACATTGAAAAAATGTTTTCATTAGCCGGTCTGATTGATTGTCATCACCATAGAGTGACGAATAAACTTGATTATAAGGTTTACTTAATGAACGATTGAATGTTCTATGAATAGAATCAAACGCTGAAAGAACTCGATCAATTTCCGCTTGCTCATTGTCTAGTATTTCTTTTTGATATTTTAATTTTTTCCATGTTGTTGTTGTTGTTGTTGTTGACGATGAGGTTGATGGTTTAACGACGTTTTGCTTTTCTCGTTCTTGTAAATAAGCTTCTGTACGGTAAGTACAATCATTAGCTAATGTACTAACAATATCGGAATTGTTAATATGAAGAACAAGGGAAGGTACTGATGAATTCTTTTCACGAGATGAAATTTTCCGATAAATACGTTGTGGGCTCGTGGCGTACTCCATATCATATGATCTATGTCAATGGGTTTGTATTTCTCGTTTTTTTCTGCTTCTTTTGCTATACGCACCTACGTATTCTCTCTTTTATGCGCATCGATAGCCTTTTCATCGACAACATCGCTCATTTTTACCCCTATTCTCAACGATAGCGATTGATCGTTACACATGACAACATTCATAAACTACACATTTTGACAGTATATATGACTAACAAGAGTAAGCAAAGCGATAAAGTGCACGCGAGAAAGAAGCAATATTTTGTTTAGTAGTTCGGTAATACAAATTATGATTTACCTAATTCAGATGAAATTGAAGCACGTTGTAAGAAGAATGGTCTAGAAGAAGAAGAAGAAGAAGAAGAAGAAAATAGGAAACTTTGAATTTTTTTGTTGCCCTCATGATTCGACTTACGTTGATAAAGAATTTTGTTCATTTGTGGTTTTGGAATGAGGCTTATATGACTCATTCTGCGGTATTTGATTCGATCGTTGAAAATGACCTGTTAAAAGATTATTATTTTGCTTGACACTTGATGCCATTTATAATAATAGTATATGTTAAAGTGGAAAAGAAAGATATAAACTCTTTCTTTTTGTTCCTAATATTTTGCTTGAAAAAGAAATGGCTATGAGTATGTTTTGTACTACTAATGGGAATACGTCGCTGCTGGATGCAAATGAATAACGAAATTGATTAGAACAAAAAAGAATGGTGCGCCTCTGTTTACTCATTTTCATTTCCATTTTGTATCAATTATTTGTTGTTTTCACCTTCATTTCTACATAGTAATTAAAATTTGTAATTAACAGACAAAAACGACGGATGCAGTAATTAATGTTGATGGACATTCATGTTTCATAAAAGTCGAATTTGATTTTTACTAATTTCTGTGCTATTAGTTCTTGTAGTTTAGTCGTAGGCACGATTCAAATTAATATATTTAATATCGACATTTTCTGTTGACGACGACAAATGAGCTTGTTACTCATCTTTATCAATTAGACTCAAGTGGAAATAAAAAGAAGATACAATTAGCTGTCTTCTCGTCTACAGTTAACATCATTGTCAACTATGATCGCTATCATAAAACGTGGCTGCCAAAATAAAAATTAATATTTACATTGTGAAAATATTTTTCGATTGAACAACAAAATTTACCTCAATCAAAGGTTTGCATCGAAAAATTTCAATTTTGAATTTGAACAATCTACACATGTCTGTAAGAATTTATTTCTTATAGATAATTTTCAATAGTTCGAATAGCCATCGTTCATCTTTAGTATAAATCAATAGGACTAATAACTTGCCAGTCAGAATCTCTTGTTAGCCCACCCCCCCCTCAGAAAAGCCGATTTTTCAAAAAACACCGAAATCGAGTTTTTATCATAGGAAGATTTCCCATAAGTATTTTACTCGGTATGACTGCCAAAGTAGGTATAAAAAACGCACTAAATCGAACTTTTCTCAGTCCAGGAATCCAATATCGAAAATCCGTCTGATAAAAAAGTTAGCAATAATTGAAACCTTTAAAGTAAAAAAAAATATCAGGGAAAGCTAAAGGCAAACGAAAGTTATAACAATTTTTCTAGTTGAGACCCATGTTTTCAGATCAGCATTTAGGAATTTTTAGAAAGGTGTGTGGGAGTAAGGGAGATGAAAGAGTATTTCTTCAATACGCCTGTCAAAACTTAACCTTTTTTCAAAAAATTATATACATTCTGAAAGAGGAGATCACGGGAAATCTTCCTATGATAAAAACTCGATTTCGGTGTTTTTTGAAAAATCGGCTTTTCTGAGGGGGGGGTCCTTAAGCAAAAATTCCTATGACTATAGAGCGAATTTAATAAATAATATTCCAAACTCTTATCTTATTCGAAGCATATTTATCCATTAGTTTTTTTTCAATATTGTTAAATATAATAATGTCAAAGAAAAATCCAGCAGTATTTTTTGCATGTATTCATATAAATGATCTGAACATTAGCAAACTTGAGTAATACATTAAAAAGAAAAACGACTATATACAATACAACATTTAAAAAAAAAGTAACGAACAAAAACGTCGACAAAAAAATAAATAGGTATGAATATATATTAGAATGAAGATGACGATTTGCTAATCAGTAGAGCGAGCATTATAACAACAAAAGCGATACCTGCAATAGTTGAAAAAATATTTAATACTAATGCACGTTTTGAAATTTTCAACGTTTGTTCATAATCAAGTGTCCGCTTATGTTCGCGTACACGCACGGATAATATAATACAAATTATTCCAAAAACGAAGAAAAGAAAAAAATTTCCAATCGACCACAACAAATAATCTGGTATATTCATAACATCTCGTTCTTGTTGAGTAAATTTAAGATTATTATGTGCAGCTTCGGATGCATAATAATCTGTATCTTGTTGTGGCAACCACGAAAAACCATTTCGTTTTTCTAAATATGGCTCGAGCACACCAATTTCACGTTTTTCCATTCGTCCAACGCCCCTTTATAAAATGAACAAAAATAAAACAGTTGTTTTTATGTCAAAAAGAATAACAACAATAACAAAAGTCTTAGTACTTGTCACTTCGATAGCCGGTCAATAAACGTCCGTCATGCATTTCTTTTTTTCTTCACTCTTTTTCGAATCCAAGGTAAACAGTTACTAGTGTGCTGCTGTACGCAGATGGAAGGACGTGAATGTAATTTATAAGCACGCCAATGAAATTCTGTTGGTGCAACTGCTTTCTCCTTGCGTTCGTTTTTTTTTATCGACTTTTTTTTGTCTTTCTGTTTTTTTTTCTACAAGGTTGTCATTACGGCGGTACCATTACGTTTATTCGTCTCAAAAGTGAAATAAAGAAGAAAGAACACAGAAGAAGAAAAATGAATCATTTTGACACAAAAATAAAACCAACATCAAGCGCTGTTTCTTTTTTTCTTTTGTCATGGGCCTTGCAGGTGATGATTCAAGAGAAGATCGTTTTTCTGTTGTCTCTATTTTGAACCTTGACACAGACCGAAAAGAATATGTCAATTTTAGTACGTGTAATACAATCGAAATGTTTCTTTTTCGTAAAACGAGATAAAAAAAAAGAAGAGAAAATGTTCGAAATAAGTATCTATCGCATGTAAAAATTTTCATGGATATTATGCTAATTCATATCTCGTAAAGAAGAAAAGATAGTAGTTAGAGAACTTTTATGGCTTGTGATATGACAAGTATACTAATAAAAGAAATCTGACAATTGAATATTTCATTTGAAAATCAAAAGTTGTAAAATTCATTTCGAAATTTTACTTTATTGAATGTAAAAAAGCGCATCTGAACGGAATTACTAATATGTTCGTTAATGGTAAATTTTTTTTTTTTATATGCACAAAATTCTTGAATCGAGTAGAAATACATAGCTGCCATGTTACTACTAGTTTAAAGATAAATCAGACAAGTGAATGTTATATCTCAGATGAAGAAATGAGATCTCCTTAACTAGATATCATTCTGTTCGGAGTGTTAGTTTGATATTTTTTAATATTTAAACTTTTAATGATTTTAGAATTGATAGAAACTATTTTATGAACTGCCTTAATTAAATACAAAAATGGTTATAATTAAGAAAAACTATGCGGTGAATAGCCCATAAAATACTTCCAATTATTAAATGCTAGTTTTAAATGCAGAGAAAAAGGAGAGAAAAATTCAATGTGCGACGGAGTACTTACACTTTTTATCAAAGTCGATACATCAACTTGTCAGAAGAACTTTTTATAATCCTTCTAAAGTTTATAAAAGAAAAATAACGAGTTAATCGACTATGCGAAATATGACATTATAGAAAAAGAAAAATGCACTTCTATCAAATTTTCAACTGCTAAAGAAAAAAAGAAGTTTTACATAAATATAAAACTAGGTAATGCCGTTGCTAAAGCTATGTTAAATGTAATTATATGAAAACCAGTTTATCCTCTGTTGGAATCCATACGGCTGTTGTTGATGAAATCGATAAGATGCTTGGTGAATTACGGATAATAAAAGAATAAAGTGTTTTTTTTCATTCAAAACCACACTCAAACTAATTTGCGTTTGGGCTCTAACAAGAGTGCACAAACATTGGTATTAATTATTAAGCCTTTTTCAATAGCGCGTCGATTTCTGTATGCTATTTTTAGATCCTAATCAATCTTTTTTATGAACTGAAAAAGTCATTTTAGAACATAGATATCCATGGTTGCTGTCGTGCTGATTTTCGAGCAATTGACTAACTCAAAAAACGAAGTTGTCACCACTACAAGGAGCATCGTACGCTCGTTTTCGGCAATGAATGAAATTTCCTCCAATAGAGATGTTGCTGTCTAAAGCTAAAAACTGAAGATACTCTGTTCTGAACGCTGTGAACTGTTTTCACAATTTTAGTTGGAATTATTAACTTAAAAAGCAATAAATTTTCTTCCCACAGGTGACGTTAGAAGGTAAATAATTAATAGATTGTTGCTATGAGTTCTGAACAATGCAAATAAATGGAAATTTAACTTTTCTAGAATTGAATAAGTAAATTAAGACTAACAAAAAAGGGATTGATTATAAATATTTTCCGTTTGAGGACACACCGGTGCGTAGGTTTCGTTCTTCCGTCGTATAGTCGAGTTAAAAAGATAACGAGGCGACTCTTTTTTGCTCGTTCTCTCATTGCCCTATTTGTTTCGATTGAGTTGTTAATCACTAACTTCACTTCAATATTTAACAACGAATAAATCATACTAAATTGAAATTTCAAATTCTAATTGAAAACAATAAAGAAAAAAAACGTTCTCATTTAAAATTGCATAAGAACTCTCGTCTAATAACCATCATTTAGTTTATCTTGATAAAAATCATAACTATATGATTATTTATTCTGCGTACATTGAACTCTGCTTGTGTCGTAGAAAAAATTTTCTTACCTTAAAATATATGTTTCACGTTAGATATTTTACACTGCTTGTTACAAGATGAACTCTTCAAATGTATAGTACGATTGTCGTTTAGTCCTTTCCTTCTCTTTTTTTTTCTCTCGTTCTTTTTCTCTATTTTTCCTACCTGCAGCGTTCATCGGTCAAGATAGCTGTAAGTAAGCGATGAGAACATTGGATCGATTCGCTACTCTCTTTTTCTTTTTTTCTTGTCGTCCTTTAAATTTTAACAACGAACATGAATACGAAAAAGAAGGAGAGAAAACAGAAGATAAAACTCAAAGTGTTGTAATTGTCTCAGAAAAATAAAGACTTGGCGCAAAAACAATGCCACGTTTTATTAATGCAGTAACTTGATTAAGTTTATCAACTAATTCTGAATTTCCAACTGTTTTCCCAGCATTACGAATATCTGAACATAATTCTTCAATACGCATAATTGTTCGAACAATTGTTCCTTCTTGTATATCGATTTCTTCCATCTCAGGATCATTCATAATATCATAAAATTTAGCACCTTGCGCCCATTTATATACTAAGGACATTATACTAAAATTAAGTTCATCTTCAATATTAGTTGGAATTTTATAATCACGTTGAATTTGATCGAGTCGTCTGGCGATCGAGACTTAAAAACAAAAGAAAACATCATAGAAACATGTTTCGTTTTTGGCCGCTACGACATACTTAATTCTTGTTTAGCTTGATGTAACGTTGGAGTAATTTCTTTTTTTTTATTTTCATCATTATATTGATCGTCATAACGTTTCCCTTGAAATATAATGGATGACAAGAGCGCAGCGATTTCGCTCGATGTCAAATTATCAATTAAATTTTGATAGATAAGCTCAGTTAGTAAAAGTTCTTTACCACTACCGAATATTGCAGCGACTTGACCTTTCAAACTCAATAGATTATTGTTCGATATATAATTTAGGTCTTTTAAAACTTCCAACATCGATTCATATTCCGCTGATGTTTGAAGACTTGTTTGAAGTGATGTTAGACGTTTATTCATTTCGGAATATTTATTTTCATAAAATTTCAATTTACGTATATAATGAAAATTTTCATTTAAATTTAAAGAATTTTCGTTTTCAAGTTTTACGTTGAGCTCATGAAGATCATTGAGCAATGAAGATTGAGACGCTTTGTTTAGTAGATCATTTAATAGTATAAAACGATTTGAGGCAACTGTAAATGTAAATAATGTTTATTTTAGTCGAATAAGCTTCAGATTATCCAATGGAAAAAACAAATGTCGATCAAACATTCTCGACGTCTATTTATATTTTGTTTAAAAGAAATGCTATGCACGAGTATTATTCAACGAATCGATTGAATTAGCAAGCAGTGTGAAATACTAGTTTTAGTTTCTCGAGTTTTGAAACAATTTGTCTTTGATTAACTAAAGAAGGAGCATAGTTTTTGGTAGGAAATGAAATTTCTTAGTCTATGCATAATGCTGAAATGGTAAGATGTAAGTAATAGTAAAGCTCGAGTGGATTTTATTGCTGACTAATTTATGTGTAGTTTGATAGAATCTGAAGAGTTGGTTATCAATACATGCTTCTTATTTCAAGTAGACCACTCTTCTAAGTGCAAAAATAGTTCAATGAGAATATGTTAGATAAAGTGAACGAGAAATAAAACGATCAGCTTCTTCAAATTTTTAATTCTTTTAACTTAGTAACAAAGAGCGACGTTCTCTACAGCAGTTTTGTTAATCAGCATTTTGTTTTGTTAAAAATAAAGAGCATCCCGAGTCAGTATGAAAACTCAACTATGTTACATATATTTTTACACACTTTGTTTCAAACGGGAATTGAACCCGCGAGGCTCGTATGAAAAGTTTTAGAGAAAACAGCCAAAAGATGTTCAATAGCACTTTCTGAATAAAATAAAATCTATGTAATCTAATGTAGTTTTTGAAACTACTTCTGAATACACTATTTACTTTGTTTCTACAACTGACGGTCAATAATAAAATATAAAGAAATTAAACGAATAAGTATTTGAAGCTTTAAATTCAAATGAGGACAAATATTTGAGTGTTATTCTTCTAATCAAAATTCTATCGATTTGCGATAGTTCTTTTAAACATATGCGGTGCGTCTACACGAGGGAATACTTAATTCTATGATGAATAAGATAAAATATTTTCCACGAATTCTGTCGCCTGAGTTTCTCTCTGATAGATGACAAATGGTTTAATTGAATTTAGAAACTTGTACATTCGTAATCAGCTCTTCAAGTTCTATTATACTAGGCCGAATATATTAGTAATAGATTTATGATTGAAAAATTTGTAAACTGTCGGACTTTTTATGTCTACATCTACTATCACATCTCCAATGGAAAACACTTTTATGAATGATAAATTTACTTGATTGATTATTGGACTTTTGTCTAATAGATTTTAATTTTTCTATTGCTTGTTTTAATGCTTTATCAGTTCCCATGGTTGATTCAAGTTCAATATCGAACGTATCACCCATTCGATGATTCCAATGACCTTCTAATATTTCGTTATAATTTATATTTGGTATTATTTCATTTGTTATATCAAGCAGATCCGTAATATTAATATTTTTAATTTGATAAATTAATTTTTGTTCTTGTTCATTTTGATCGATGCTCCATTTTTGTACAGGTAAAATAAACATTTTTTCATTTTCTTTTAAAATTAATCGATCTAAATCAGTTAACAAACGATTTCCTGATTGACTTATAACTAAAGCCGATATAATACGCTGATGATTAGCATTTTTTCCCGATGCACTAAATGAACCGTCAAGTACAATAGCAGGTAAATCTGTGTCATAGATATCACGAATGCGTATGATTCTTCCACATTTAAGTAAATCATCGAGAAAACGATGAGAAATTTTTTCCTGCTGAATTAAAATTTCTTGAATTTGAAATAACACATCCCAAAAGTGCTCACATTCATTGAAATAAGTTTTTAATTCATTTGTATAATACGATTTCATTGATTGATGAAGTGTTTCAATCGTTGAACGTAGTTTATTTGCTGCTATTATATCACGTGCATTCGCTTTTTGACTATGATATTCAGAATAAGAACTTGATACCATATATTCCAATGGGCATTCAGCAACACGAAGAAAATTTAAAATCATTGAATAGGTTAAACGAAATTGAGATTGAAGTTTGGCAGATTTACCCTAAAGTTTATTTAAAAACATTTTTGTGCTAACGGAAGATGCGTGACCTATCTCAGTAAGAACTAAAGTAGACTGTCCTTTTTATCTTTGTCTAGCACGAAATATTTGAAATACGATGAATTCAGGAGTTTTGCATTACTATACGATGCTACTTCAAGTCGCTCGCTGATTAATAATTTCTTGTCGATGCAATATTTTGTAGCTCTGCTTAGGATAGTCGGAGAATTTTAATCATGAGAGTAAAAACAGCTCTAAACAAGTTCATCTGTCATTCAAGTGAAATCCGAGAATGCTAAATTGACGATTGACAGAAGCATTTATAACTGGAATAATAAGACGAAGCAACAATTTGGTGGATTTCAAAAACCTAAAAACTACCTGCATCAGACTCTAGGACTTCTGTAACTGTTCAAATTTTTTGTCTACCATGTAAACGACTATCTATTTTATTTACCAGTATCATAGCTTTTAGTGAAGCTATGGAAGGTACATCACCTTTACATAAGGCAATAACAGTTCCAGTTTTATCTAAACCCCGACGACCTGCACGACCGGCCATTTGAATATATTCACCTAAATTATCATAGATTGTTATCATCGTTAGAAATCTATCAAGACAATTTTTTCTATTTACTTGGTACAAGTTCACGAAAACCTTTACCATCATGTTTTTGCAATGAATCAAACAGAACGGTTCTTGCAGGCATATTAATACCCACTAAAAAATCAAAATTGTTTTCTTTGCAAACATCAACGTATTCCACAATATTACTTGCAAATGTTTCGGTTGCAAAAAGCACCTTGATACGCCCCGTTTGAAATAGTAATTCAACTGATTCACGTAAGATTGGTAGAACACCACTATGATGTATTGCGATGCCACGTTTAGCCATTTCTTGCAAATTCATAACCTAATGAATGCGAAAGATGTCGGGAAAATAGATTTCTTTGCAAAAAATTTACTTGTTGCAATTGTCGATCGGATTCGTTTAATCTCGATAGAGCTTGCCGAAAGAATTGCGCTACATAATGTTTATCTTCTTGAGTATTTAAATCAAGACCTTTAACTAATTCTAAATAATCATCACAGCGTTTACGAGAAAATACAAAACAAACAACAGGTAATAATTGTTTGTCACGTAGCATATAAATTGTTGATGTCCATAATGTTTTATTCTAAGAAAAAAAAACGAATCGTTTTGTTTAGTGATTAATTGGAAACCATTGAATTAGATGTCCACAATTACTGAGAGAAAAGTTGTGATCACTTAATTTTTTTAAACAATTGAAGGGTCAAAAAAAGTTGAAAAGTGATCCGAACTCGTTTCTTTTTCTTTTATAGTAACGGATTCATTTCCTATGAAATTTCAGCATAGTTTTTACGTTCCAACGTTCTAATCGACATTTATTTCATACCTGATTTGTATTTAGAGTATCATGTCGAGTTTTCGATCCAAAATGTTGTTGCCGATCTTTTTGTTTTGCTGTTTTAGCCGCAACAGCTTGAACATGACTATGATATTTAAAGAAAACCATGGCTTTTCAAAAGTAAGATCCTCTACATTCATTTGACATACTTTCGCTCAAGGAACTTCTGTTCAGCATCAATAAGCATAAATAATTCTTTATTTGTTGACGTACTATTGCCGGTATAAAGAAAATGTTCTAGTGGAACTGGCCGTTTAAAGCTAAATGAAATTAGAAATCGTTTCATTGTTTATACATAGCACATTTATATTTTTACGTTGAAATAACATAAACATTTCGTCGTTTCATTCGTCTAAAGTTTTCAAAAACGCAAAAAGATAATTAAAAAGATAATCAATTATCTTACCCAACCCATTCAGCAAATTCTCGAGCATTCGAAACGGTTGCACTAAGCATAATTAAGCCTACATGATCAGGTAACATAATCAATACTTCTTCCCACACGAAACCTCTCTATTGAAAACAGATAAAAAAAAACAAACATCAAGATTATCAGGTCACTAAAACATATGTCATTCTACAAACTTCTGAATCATTTAAATAATGAATTTCATCCATAATAACCCATTCAAGTGATTTAAGTGTATTCGATCGATTATAGAGCATAGATCTAGATGAAAAAAATAGTAGAAAAAAGAAGGCTCCAATAAATATATATACCTGAGAATTTCTGTAGTCATGATTAAACATGAGGCTTCATGATTAATTTGGACATCACCAGTAAGAAGTCCAACATCGTTGAAACGTTTCTTGAAATCACAATATTTTTGATTCGATAGAGCTTTTATTGGACTCGTATAAAATGCTCTAAAATATTTCAAATTCATTGATTCTTCAAAAAGATTAAAGTTTGGAACTCCCAAATATTTCGATCTACGATTTTTCGTTGAAAACTTAATTCAGAATTATCCTTCAATTTTCTCTCCGGTGAACTGGAAACTATTTAGAAAATCCAGGAAATACTACGGGCATAGCCTAATGACTTATGCGAGGATAATACTCTGCCAATGTCACTACAATCTTAGACCGTGACACGACATTACCGCGCGCGACACTTCCGCGCAACAGTGATTGAGGGAGCAAAAGTTGAGGGTGAGCTCGAAAATAAGGGTGAAAACGAAAACAAAAGTGAGGGGACGAGTGAGGGTGAGGGTGAGAGTGAGAATGAGGACTTTGCGAGCAAATATTATGCATGAATCTGCATTGCGTCGTAGTGTCGCGCGCGGAAATGTCGTGGAACCCAAACGTTTCGAAAGGCAGAGACTCTTCTCGTTTTTACAAATACACAATACTTAAGAATGATTTTTCTATTCTCAATTGTAATTATTATAGATCTAGAAAAAATCTCTTGTTTACTTTGTGGAATGATTTTGCGCAAGAGCAATCGCATATTCTAAATAAGAGAAATATAGAATGTAATCTAATTATGGACTTTTTATATTCTCACCAGCAACAACTGTTTTGCCGGCTGATGTATGTGCTGCAACGAAAACACTTTCATTATTTTCCAATCTTAGAATAGCTTGTTTTTGAAATGTATCTAATTCAAATGGATACTAATCATAGAAAAAGAAATATTGTTTAATTATATTTTTGTAATAAAACTCGGAGTATCTTTACTTCAATAGCCATGTCAGGTACGCGCAAACGAAAATCTCCAAGTTTTTCACTTGGATTTAATTCTATGGCATATGAACGATTTAATTGTTGTTCAGCTGTTTTATTTATATCTTTCATTGTTGATTTAAATTTAAGTTCCGGTAATGGAATATCAAATAATCCACCAAGACGAAGTTTTGCTGGTATTGGCGCATCAATAATTGTTGATTGTTGCTGATTAGAAGTCGATTGTAAATTAATATCATCAAGATTGGGTTTCCATTTTTGAAGAAATGATTCAATCCGATTATCGAAGTTTGGTTTAAATGAGGTTGTAGCGGAGGAAAGATCCATACCAAGATCATCTTCGTTCGATAAAGATTTTAGGAGATCTTATTGGACAACAAAAACAGCACATTACTTTTCATTGAAGTTTACAGAATGTCAAGAACTTACGATCATTAGTTGATAATATTATGTCTGTTTCGTTTCGATTAATAATTGTTTCTAAATCTTGATGATTGTCATTTGCTGCATCTTTTGCGGATGGAGGCAAACAAGGACATGAAATTGGAGCAGGTTGAAGAAATTCATTAGGGTACAATGGTGTATCATCCTCAAGACTTATATTAACTACTGGTTTAGGTATAATTGGTACCTGAATATCATTCAAAACATTTGAAGCTTTCACTGTTGAGTTAATAGAAAAAACGTCTTACTTCACATAAGCCAATTATTTCACCAGTAGTTAAATTTCTATCGGCTACAAGATCAGATTCATCTTTGAGAGCTTCGATAGTAAATAATCGATTCACATCAATATCATGTGTAGTTAATTGTCTAGTTGCAAATGATTATGAGCGAGAAAGAGAATTGATTGGTAAATTTAATACCTTTCGTGCAGACTAGGATCAAGCCAAGGGAATTGAGTTTCATCCACAAACGACTCAAGTATATCATCGAAATCCGTACGAATAAATTGCTTAGTTGCGGCCATTTTGTCTTTAATCTACAACGAACTTTTAGATTTAAGCAAGACGCTTGTTGTTCTTTTTCCGAATTTATTTCCGAATGGTTTAAAACTTCAGAATAGGACATTTTTTCTAAATCAGGAATTTTTCAGACGGAAAAATTGCTTCTGAGTCAAACTTACACGGTATTAAATGAACTATAAACACTATGAAAAAGAGTTCTAAACTAAAATTCTATTATTTAAGTCGCTAAAATATAAGGACAGAATCAAGACACTTTGTGCACATTTTCAAATTACATCGCAAAAGTTACGAATTAAAAATATTTATCTGATATTTCACGATATTCATTTTAAATATAATATAAAATTTCGGTATCCCTGTAGTCATTAGTGACGGGCATAAACTTTTATCAGGCAATTCATAGTTCATTTGACTAAACATATGTTAGGTTGTTGTAATCTGAAATTAAATTATCAGTCACAAAATCCGCCTCGTATGATAATTAGCGGTGTAACCAAGGGCTATAAGTGGATTTACAAGCTGAATCAATCAGTGAAGCGTTGAGCACCACAGGTCGAAATTGTGTCAGATTAATTTTGCTATGAGCATCTCTAATAGATACGGTTGATCTTCTAGAGAGAAACAAAATACACACGATCCTGAACTATTCAGTGGCAACTACATTTTAGAAAAAAGTTAATATTAAATTTTTATTTTGCTTCAAATTATATCTTAATATAATCATGTTAGGAATTATTTTAGTTTATCTATTTCAAATAAAACTCAATGATGTTTAATTGACATCTTGAAGAAATTTTTCTTGTGATGGTTGATAATTTTAATAGTATAAATCCTTCAGATATAAATAAATAGTTATTATGTGATTGTAGAAACTAACGTTCATCTTTGAATAACGGAAATACTTATTTTTTTTATACTGTGCACGTTGAAAATCACTGACACATGCAAAGCTGAACTATCCTATTGGTACACATATTGCTTTCAGCGTAAATAGTACGACAACCTAATAGTTTCTATACTCCTTTGATATTGTCTATGTAAGCATGATCATCAACAAGCACAAGCAATACCTGTAATTACATTTAACAGTTTCATAATACAAAACAATAAATTATCTACCTCAGAACCAACATGTAAAAAAATCTGCTTTTATTATCATAGATACAAAAATATGATTGACCTGTCGTTGCTATTTTCCAATAGACTCTAAAATCTTTTCTTTTTTTCAAATCAATCAATAGTTCAGTTTGAGCCAATTTTTTTCTTTTGCACACCCAAAACATCTAAAACAGTTTGTATTTATACCTTTAATTTTGTCCTTTTTGTTGCATTAGTAATCATTGTATAGTATATATTTAAAGAAAAAAAAAGACCAATTTCCCCTTTTTTGCCTCATCCTTTATTTTCTTTCACTTTCTCTTCATGACGCAATTTTTTTCGTCTTCAAAATACGACTTTTACATAAGTTTGTTTCATCACGCGAACAAACACATATACGCACTGTTACAACTAGCAGCAAAGTAAAACAATCGATAAGGAAAAAAAATCCAACAATACGTATAAAGAAAACGAACAAAATAGTGTACATTCCATAACCGAGGCAATGATAATATCCCCATGAGCATATCGATACAATCTGAGAGACTTTTGTGGAATGGGACAGATGTTGAAAACTTATTCTAAGACAATCCCCTGATTTCTAAGTGACTGACTGTTCAACATGGATACATAAATATCAAAAAGAAGAAAAAAATGAATGAAAAAAAAATAGTCTCTCATTAATTTTTTTTCACTCACTTTTTTCTCTTTTTCTTAATAGACAAAGACAAAAAGAAAAGAAAAAAAACAGGAAATAACATAGAAGAAAAAGAAAAGCAAAGATGGTTTTTTGTTTGTAAGTTTTTTTTTCATTGGCATTATACGAATTTTTTTGATTAGACTGTAAAGTCTAGGTTTTTTTGCAGAAAAACTTTATATTTTTTTGTCTTTTAATTTTTCGGACAAAAAAAACGAGGACAAGTAACATAGAAGAACCTCTGATAGACTTTTTTTGTTTTTTTTTGTGTTTTGAATGTACTTTCAATAATGAAAAAAATCAAACGAGGAAAAACGAGATCGACTAATCTATATATATGTTTAGATAGACAGATAGACAGACAGTGAGAGAGAGAGAGAGAGAGAGAGGAAGAGAGCGGGGCAGAGAAACTTGTTCGAATGATCACATGAAAATAAATATCGAACAGAAAGAGATGTGCGGGAATAGTCAAGATGAAAAGAAACAACAAAACGAAACGAAGCTTAGTTTTTGCTTGGAGCAATGCATAGTAGAGAACAAACCCAAAACAGACACACACACACACACACACGCACACTCACAAATCTGTTGCTCATTGAACAGAGCTACAACGAACAAAAGGAGACGAGAAAAAGTGAACAAAGAAAAAACAAAGAAAATGAAAACGTATATAGGTGTTAGGAAATGAATTCACTCTATTTGGAATTCAGTAAGTAATTTAGATAAATCTTTTTTTGCAACGCTGTTTTCTAAATCTGGCCGTTGCAAATGACCGATAGCAATGGCTAATGTACGCCATATATTTTCGGACATTTGCACGTGTGTACCTTGCGGGCCAATACCTTCACTTTGTTGTTTAAGCGCTGTTAAGAAATGTTCAACAGCTTGTTTATATGCACTCAAATTGAAGCAACTAATGCCAAGATTATAACGAGCACGTACGAAACCGGGTGATAGTGTTAATGCATGATAGTAAGCATCGACAGCTTTTTCACTTTGGCCACCATTAGCTAATGCCGCACCTAATTTGTTCCATAGTAGAGCATCCTAAAAGATCAAAAAATAGAATAAAATTTTACATTAACTGTAAAAAAATAGTTTGATAAATGCAAAGAAATATGAGGTGTCGAATCAAACTTTTATTTGCCACGTTGGCCGGGTTTAAATTCCATTTTACGGTCTTAGCGTGTTGAATTATGAATGCTCCATGAAATTTCTACATTGAATTTATCCATAGATAGATCAACACGTCTTTTTTTTATCGACTTATAGTGCAAAAATTAACTAAAGCGTCCATAAAACAATATTCAGACGACTGGAAAGTCCACTTAGCATATACGTTTCTTTACTGATTATCATCGGTACTTGATTAATAATAATAGCTTCGAGCTAAACATAATTGAACAGATGCAAATGCTCCCATCTCATTATCTTTCTTTCGATATCACAACGTGCCTTTCTATTTAGAAAAAAAGATTGCTCTTGATTCAAACTCTATAAAATCATCTTTGTTTCAAAGAAAAAATGCATCTGTATTGAATGATGGTATGCAAGCTCCAACTATTATGGTTAAATCTACTGTGTTCGGTAAGCTTTATATTAGTTTGATATATGAAAATGAATATAATATCTGTGTTTAACCAACATTGAACGATTACAGTTCTTACAAAGTAAGAAAGAGTTGAAGCAATCAAGTACAAAAAGTTGCAATAGTAACATATTAATAAATAATATGAATTCCATATGGGTTCTCACTTCTCGAAGTATAAACAAAGTCTTAGGTACAACAAAAACAAAATCAAATTTTGATCTGAACATTTAACTGAAGAATCTTTCATAGAGCATGCAAAAATTTTGGAATGAAGTCTTTTAGAAGTATAAATCGTGCCGCATAGCTTTTTCAAAGTTTTAGATGTCCCCATAGACATCGATGAAAACTTTGGAGTATTTGATACGAACGCTAGTCTAGTTAAAGTCTTTATATGATCAAAAATCATTCAAACACGAAACAGACTTCCTAGGAGATTTTATTCCACAGGGAAACTAGAATATATTTGAGTACTTGTTTATAATCTGTGACTCAACTAAGAGAAACTATATACTCTCTTGCAGTGAGCGTACGATTTAATTTTTGCTTCGAAATAAAAAATGTTGCCCTATTGGGAAAAAAATACTTCGAGGACCATTTATTTTATTGTACTTGCTGCTTTCATGGTTAATGAATCCTATTAACAAAGTAGCAATGGTTCAATGTTTTCCACATAGTAACATAATGTGATGACAATTTTTTGTTTTCTTTTAACATTACTTATAAAATGTAAGAGTATTTTCTTATACGAAAAAAAACAATGCTAGAAAAATCACTGTACTATCCTATCACAATTTATCTCATGCATTAGTTTCAATGATAACAATGCTGTGAAAATCTGATATGTTATATCATGATTCCGAAAACAATGAAAGATTGTTTGTTTGTTTTTTTTTTTAATATATTTATATTCCGGAAGAAAAACTTACGTCGGGTTTAGCAAGAACGGCTGTGTTGAAACATTCTGCTGCTTTATCATAATCGCCCGGCAAATGAAACAATACACCAAGACATACCTAAACAATATGAATTTTCTATTAGGAAAATCTAGTTCAATCAAAATTGAACTTACTTGAAGATCAGAGTCAATATCATTCGGATTATTAGATAATGAAATTGCCTGTAAAAATAGTTCTTGTAGTTCTTCAAAAGCCAATCTAAATCGAAAACCCAAAAATTAATCATTCACAAAAAAATACGATTAATCATGAACATACTCATCGATCAATCTTGGTTCATTAGTTGTTGTTACTTGTGATCGACGATTGGATAAAAGATGTGAATATTTGTCATTATTAGCTAACCATTTGCGTAAAGAATCAAGTGCTTCGTTAGTCAACATTTCATTAGCATAGCACGACGCTAGTGTGATATATGCTTGCAAATTTTTTGGATCAAGTTCGACACATCTTTAAAAATAAACAATTTTTTACATGAAAAAAAAAACTTCAAATTAATTCTTACTTTTTTAATGCACATATTGCAGGACCGTCCTGTTCGTTTTCACTCTGAGTTATACCGAGATAAAGCCATGCCTAGAATATGTGAAATACATAATAGTGAATATAAATAGAAGGTAGTATGTATTTTGAGATGATTCTATCAGCAGGAAGCGATGC